GGGGGTTGCTGGGGGGGGTGGGGAGGGGGTGAGGGGATGGAGAGATGTGGCAGGTAGGTAGGGGGGACCCTAAGGTGGGTAGGGGGTCCCCCAAGGGGCAAGTGATCCCCAGGGTAGAGAGGGGGTCCCTAAGGTGGGTAGGGAGCCCCCAAGGGGCTGGAGATCCATGACAGGCAGGGGGTCCGTAAGATGGGTAGAGGGTCCCTAAGGTGGGCAAGTGATCCCCAGGGTGGGGAAGGGGATACCTGGGGGGATGGAGATCCAGGGCAGGCAGAGGGTCCCCAAGGTGGGCAAGGGGTCCCTGGGCTGGGCAGGGGACCCCCTGAGGAGCTGAAGATCCATGGCAAGCATGGGGTCCCCTGAGGTGGATAGGGGGTCCCTAAAGTGAGCAGGTGGTCCCCAAGGGGCTGGAGATCTGTGACAGTTGGGCAGGGGATCCCCAAGGTGGGAAAGGGACCTCTCAAGAGTAGGCAACGGGTCCCCAGGGAGCTGGAGATGTGTAGCAGGTGGGCAGGGAGTCCCCAGGGTGGGCAGGGGACCCATGAGGGGGTGAAGATCCACAGCAGATGGGGTGAGCCCACCTGAGGAGGGACCATGGGTGCCCCCCCAGGAGGTGCCCCCCCAGACTCACTATTTTGCGTACGTGGCTCAGGGCACTCCCCTCCTTGCCCTTGCAGTTCTCCACCTGGTATGGGGGGGCAATCACCACCTCCTCCATCACCACGATGTTCTTCTCCTGCCATTTACAGTCCTTAATCCTGCAGGGATGGGAACAAGGATCAGCCCCAGGCCTGCCTGGGGTGACAGGATGGGCCCCATGTCCATCCGCCCCCCCAGTCCCACCAAAATCCCCCAGCAAGGTCCTAGGCAGTGTGACTCCAACCCCCCCAGGGGGCTAACCAGGGGTGAGGCAGAATGTGTGACACTGAGGAGGGGACAAGGGAGAGCAGGAGGCAGTGGTGACACTGAGGGGACAAAGGAGAGAGCAGGAGGCAGTGGTGACACCAAGGAGGGGACAAGGTTGGGGTGACACTGAGGAGGGGACAAGGCCGAGGTGACACCGAGGGGACTCACGTCTTGTGTATGGTCTGGAAGAGCTGCTGCCCCTCCAGGGAGACGCCGGCGCTGATGGCGTAGGCCTGGCTCAGCTTCTCCTCCTTCTCCGTTCGTGCCTTGTTGGCCAGCTGGGGGGGGACAGGCCCTGAGTGTCCCCCTGGGGGGTGGTGGCACCAAGGGGACACAGGTGTGTGTGTCCCACAGACACAGCCCTGCCACTCACTGCCCCAGATCCCCAGTTAAACCTGGGGATGCCAAGCAGACCATTCCCACCCTCCCACATTTTTCTCCACAGGGATTTGGGGATTTAATTCCTTTTTGAGGCACTGTCACCATTGCCTGGGGGGGTGTGTGATCCCCCCCAAGTGGTCTGGGGACATGGGTGACACCTTTTCACATCCCTGTTTGGGCACAGGGAGGAAATCCCTCCAGCATCCCCTTCCCTCTGAATTCCAGTTACTCTGTTCCCATAACAGACAGGCAGGTGGGTTATGTGGGAGCCACCCTGGGAGGTGGGATGGTGCTGGGGGGGTCCTGAAGTGGAGAAGGGACCCCCCAACCCTGCATGTGCCCCCTCCCAGTAAAGCCCAGGAGCTGCCTGAACACACTGGAGCAGCAGCTTCCATCCCTGGGCTGGAGTGGAAGAACCACATGAGCACCAGTGCCCATGGGATGAGGGGGAATGGGTTTAAACTGGGAGAGGGAGATTTGGGTGAGACATGAGGAGAAATTCTTCCCTGTGAGGGTGGTGAGACCCTGGAACAGGTTGCCCAGGGAAGCTGTGGCTGCCCCATCCCTGGCAGTGTTGAAGGGCAGGTTGGATGGGGCTTGGAGCAGCCTGGGCTGGTGGGAGGTGTCCCTGCCCATGCAGGGGGTGGGACTGGATGATCCTTAAGGTCCCTTCCAACCCAAACCATCCCATGATAAATACAGACCAAGGGTTGCAGGGGGAGCCAAGGGCAGCAACAGGATCAACTCCAGCCCCTCGTGCAGATGGATGAGGATCATTTCTTGGATGAAAAGGAGCTGGGAGATCCCTCTTCTTCTCCCCTCTCCTTATCCCTGCTTTCCTCAACTCCCTCACTCCACAATCCCAAGTGGATCATCCAGCTCCATCCTCACTCCAGAAACCACATCACGGAGACTCAACCCACTCAAAACCCCACCAAAACCCTTCACAGAACCACAGAAAGTGGGGATTGAAATGAAGGATTTCAACTTGAAAAGCTTCCTCAAGTCTTCCCAAGAGGAATTTCCTCAGGCAAATCCCTCCTTCCCAGCCCAGGAGGGCAGGATCTCACCTTGCTAACGTTGAGTGAAGCTAAAGGAGGAGGCGTTTCCGTGCGGTCATTAATTATTTCCACTTCTGACACGTACTGTAAGTTTACAAGCAGGATGTCTGCATGGTTGGGCTTCCCACTGGAAGAGGGACACTCTGGAGAGGGGGAAAACCATTAAGGAAAACCAATCCAAAAGGAAAAACAACCAGGCATGATGCCCCGGAACAAACTGGGAGGATATCTTGAGTTTTCAGGGAATTCCTTCACCATCCCTGTCCCTGCTCAGCCAATGACAAGCTCCGAGATGCTAAAAACATCACCCATCTTTTCTTGGATCTATCTGATGGGGATTTGGTTTTCCTGATTTTTCCAGCTGGGAATTGTTGTAACCAGAGCACACAGAAACTTGGGATGCTGTGAGGATTCCTCCAAAAAGGGAAATTCAACCCTAAATTAGCCAAGGAGGTGCTGCTGGTGCTGCCCGCTTCCCTGCCTGCTGCAAAAAATCAGCTGGACATGGAATTGAACCAGAACAAGCCCAGAATTCCCAGTTTTCTACCCAAACTGGTCCCTCTGGAAACCAGAGCATCCCTGGGAATGGGATGCTCAGTGTGGATGGGAGAGGAGAGACTCAGCACCCAGCTGGGAATGACCCCCTTGCCTTCAGCCACCCTCCCCCTCCTGGTAAGGCAAGGAGGATTGTTGGGAAGCAGAAATGAGACAGGAGAGCACATCCCATGGGAAAAAAAATCACACCCCCCCCCAGGGCTGAAAGGCAGGAATTCCTGCTCCCTACAGGGAGGGAAGGGCTGGAGGGAGCAGAGTAGGACACCAGGAGCCTCTTCCATCTGCTCCTCCAAGGAAGAGACACTCCTGGAGGAACCTCTAACCCCCTTGGAGTTGCCTCTTCCCCCCTCAAGGTGCCTTTTCACCCCCCTGGAAGTTCCTTTCCCCCTCACCCCCACCCAATACCCTCCAATAATGGAGGGAAAAGCTGGGATACCTGGGAACTCCTCCCTGGGGGGAGAAGTAACCCCACTATAGGGCTCCTCATTCCCCCAGAACCTCCCTATAAGGCATCCCAGATCTTCCCCCCCATATCCCCTCTACATCCACAGTCCCCCCCTTCAAAACCCTCTCTCTAGGGCTCCCCACACCCCCCTCAATGACCCCATTACAGGGCTCCCCCCTTCCCTGCCAAAACCTCCCTACAGAGCACCCCAGATCCCCCCCAATAACCCCACTACAGCACTGTTCATTCCCCCCAAACCTCCTTATAAGACACCCCAACACCACCACCCCTCTCAATAACCCCCCTACAAGGCTCCTCCCTCCCCCACAAAAACC